GTTACTGTCTTTTTTCGTCATCATTATTTGATCGTGATCCTACTCATCGTTGTTGTTGTCATCATCATCATCATCATAGTTGTCATCATCATCATCATTTTACAAATGAAGGAACTGAGAAGTGAAGTGGCTTCATGGTCAAAAACTACTGTCAGAGCTGGGATAGGATAAGGTTGGTCAGCTCTGTCCATGGTCCTGACTAAGGCTTCTGTTTTGTTGTGTTTTGATTTACAATTGTTCTTGGGTACATGAAACTGATCTAGCCAGCCATATTCTCTACTTAAGGTATGATGACACACTTTTATTTGCAGGTCAGGGTCCAGGAACAAAAAGCTGTTTAATACCAGGAACGGACACATTCCCTATCTATCCACAAGGCTGGGATGCCCCAATCTGGAATCTAGAACAGAACCTGAGGTATAGTTGCAAATGTAAAGTGTAGTGTTGCTCTTTTGACCTTCACTAGCTAAAGTGCAGAACTCATTTCTGAGCTAACTGCCAGGTTATTTCTTGACTCCCAGACCAATTCAATAAAGACCTGGGACCATATTTGGAAGGTACTGTACTGGGTAATGGGAATACACAGACAAAAGTGAAATAGTTCCTGCCCTCAAGGAGTTTACATTCTACTAGAGCTACTAGATGAGCTATACTCTGGCAAAATGAAGTTGTCATCATCATCATCATTTTACAAATGAAGGAACTGAGAAGTGAAGTGGCTTCATGGTCATAAAACTACTGTCAGAGCTGGGATAGGATAAGGTTGGTCAGCTCTGTCCATGGTCCTGACCATCTTCATCTTAGTTAAAACACCTCATTTGCACATGTAAGTTTTGGGCATTTTGTTTCATGAGAAGATAAAGAAATGCTCTCCTAAAAATGAAGACGGGTACTGTTTCAAGAAGTATTCTCTCAAAGACTTTCCAAATGACAGGAGCAACATAATAAATTTGCATGTGCTTTTCTGTGTTATAATTTGCACACTAAATGAAAATTGTCCTTTAAAGACATCTCTTTGGGATACTAGATAATGATTCACGTGATGTTACCCTTGTTTAGACTGTTCTGAGGGTCAGTCCATAAGTCATAAAAAGAAATCAATTTGGACTTCATGGTCAGGAACATCATGTTTCTAATGCATTCCTTGTGGCCCAGTGATCACCCACTCCATTCTCTAAAGATGGTTCTGACTGATTTGTGTCTGCTTCCTAAAACAAATTCACCCTCAAAGGATAAAGATTTATTAGCACTGAGCCCATTTAGAGAAAGATGTTTTTTGAGCTCAGAAGGCCATCCACAAGGAAAAATGACCAAAACCACATGTTAAGAAAGAGGCCATAACTGCTAAGGAGACCTCTTCAGAGCAGACAGTTTTCATTAACAAGATGGTTAATCCAGGGTTTAACAAATCGGTCTCACAAGCTCATATGTTGTAGTACTTTGGGCTTCATATCCTTCCTTCCTTCGTCCATCCCTCCCATCCATCCTGTTTTCCTCTCTTTCTCCCTCTTTCCCTCCCTCCCTCCCTTCTTTCCTTCCACAAAAATAATTCATTAAGTGTTCACTCTGTGTAGACTGCTGTGGTAGGTGCAGAAGGGAGGGATGTGATACAAAAATAAATAAGATAAGATAAACAGATATAAATAAAGAATATAATAAAACATTAATAAATATACTGATATATAATAAATAAAAATAGTTCACATAAATAAATCTGTAAATATATGTTAATTATTAAAATAATACAACAATACAATAAATAATATAATACTATAAAGAAATATAAATAAGACAAAGATAAATAATCCAAATTCTGATTTCATGGGAGTTATTATACAGCAGAGAAGGGGGAAGAATCATAAATGAAGTAACTAAAATGCTATGGGAATAGTGGAAGGAAAGATAATTCCTGACTTAGGGGTCAGGAATTGCTGATTTCCTAGAAGAGTCATTTGAACTGGGCTTTGAAGGATAGGAAGGATTTCAACAGGTGGAGATTAGAATGGAATTCCAGGTATAGGTAATAGTGTGAGCAAAGACTGGAAGGCAGGCAAGTCTTGGGCACAGAAGCATGCATAGAGCACGGGTCAGGTGTACCAAGGTGTCTGGTACAGATGGCTCATGCTGTTGCATGCCAACAACAGGACATATATGAGACAGCACAGTTTGACTGGAGTGTTGTGTTGGTGGTGGATTTAATTATAACCTGAACTACGTAGAAACTGGCAGTAACAGATAGATTATTTGGATGCTCCAATGAGGACCAGATGTTATAAGAAGAGCCTAATGGTCCCTGAGTTTTTAAATTCTAAGGTATTTTCTTCTGAAATACCTACCTAACCTAATGATCGAAAGGAGAAATGAACCATAGAGAAGAGGTTACATTGTCTACATCTTGGGGAACAGAATGTGGGCTCATTTCCTTCCTTTGTTAAGAGCACTTAGATTTTTCATTCTGCTTCTCTAAGGCTATCCCCTGCAGTCCCACAAATGCCTTTTCTTATAGTTGCATCAAGAGAATGGACTAGAAGGGCCAGGAAGAGCTCTACCTTCAGGGCTGACCTCAAACTCTTGGTGGATATATCAATATCTTCAGGTGCTCCCTGGTGACACACTCTTTTACTCTTTCTCTTCCATGGACTCCATTGCCTTTACATCTTTCCACTTTCCAAAAGTATCAAAAGGAAATAGCTTTTCTTTTCCCTAGTCTTATGCTCTTTCCCTGCAATCTTTTTTTTGGCTAGGCAATGGGGTTTAGTGACTTGCCCAGGGTCACAGAGCTAGTAAGTGTTATGTGTCTGAGGTAGGATTTGAACTCAGGTCCTCCTGAATCCAGGGCTGGTGGGCTATCCACTGTACCACCTAGCTGTCCCCTTTCCTTGCAATCCTCCAGGAATAAGTAGCTCTCCTCTCTACTAAGGCTAATGACCAATCCTTCCTTTGACTTAATCTCATTTTCTGTCTCCTCTAGAACCTCTTTTTTCAATCATCTGATCTCTCTCCAGCACCTCTCCCTGGGCTCATTCCTCTCACCATGCAAAACAGATTCGGGTATCTTCTGTCATAAAGAAATGCTCGAACTGACTGACCTTCTCTCAACCCTGCCAACCCTCTAGGCTGAAAGATTTACAAAATGCTGCCTTCACGAAACTGAGACTCCAAGAAGTGGCTTGTTCACAGTCCCATTGTTAGGGTTAGGATCACAGAGTTAGGGTGCCAAATCCCAGAATTAGGGTTACGAAATTAGGACCACAGACTTAGGATTACAAAACAGGCCTCCAATTCCATATCCAGTACTTTTACTTCCCTTATGCCATGATGTCTCCTCTTTCTCCCTTACCTTCTCTATTTCCTTATCCCAGTGCCCAGGTTGGGGTTCAACAAATGTTTGTGAAATGAGTAATGGATATGAAATTGCTTTCCAAATTATACAAATGGCAATGTCATCATCAGTCACTTCTCTGCTTCTGTTTCTGGACCTTTGCTTTGAATTTTTGCCACCATCATTGATAACAAGAATGAGGAAGATAAATATATTTTAAGACCAATAATAATAAACTATAATTTGTTGGCTGAAAAAACATTCTAGCTCTTCTGCCCAGGGCTCTAACTATCACAATACTTTCTCCCTCTGCTACAGCCCTGCATAAATGATTGATCCTACCTGAGAACTTTGTGTGTGTGTGTGTGTGTGTGTGTGTGTGTGTGTTCTTTCTCTCTAACTGCCCTGGGAACTCTTTCTTTTTTTTTCTTTAGTATTTTATTTTTCCCCAATTATATGTAAAAACAATTTTTAACATTCGTTTTTAAAACTTTGAGTTCCAAATTCTCTCCCCTCCTCCCTCCTTACCCCCCTCATTGAGAAGGCAAACAACTCAATATAGATCATACATGCATAGTCATGCAAAATATTTCCATAATAGTCATGTTATAAAAGAAAACATATACAAAAAAACCCTCAAGAAAAACAAAGTAAAAAAAACACATGTTTTAATCTGTATTTAGACATCATCAGTTCTTTGTCTTAGGATAGATAGCATTTTTCTTCATAAATCCTTCAGAGTTGCCTTGGGTCATTGTATTGCTGAGAATAGCTAAGTCATTCACAGCTGATCATTGCACGACATTGCTGTTACTTTGTATAGTGTACATTTCATTTTGCATCACCTCATGTCTTTCCAGGTTTTCCTGAGAGCATCCTGCTCCTCATTTCTTATAGCACAACAACATTCCATCACAATCACATAGCACAATTTGTTCAGCCATTCTCCAATTGATGGACATCCCTGGGAACTTTTAGAAGAGGGATTCTTAACATTTTTGTAGGTCCTGGATTTTTCTATTAAGAAGCAGCTTAGTAAGAAGTAGTGAAGGCCAGCTTCAGAGTAAAGCATGGGTGCCTCTGACACATTTCTCCTTAATGTTAGTACCTTCTTTCTGTGATCATCTCCAGTCTATTGGTACATATCTTGTATGTACACAGTTGTTTGTAAGTTGTCTACCCCATTAGATTGTGAGCTCCTAGAGGGCAGGGGTTGTCTTCTGCCTTTCTTTGTATCCCCAGTGCTTTATACAGTGCTTGACACAAAGAAGGTGCTTGATAAATGCTTGCTGAAGGCACCTGGCTGTGTGATCCTGGAAAGTTAGAATCTCTCCATGCCCCAGACAACTCTTTAAGGTTACAAGGTGCAGAGAAGGTGCCATATGCATTGGTAGAGGGAGTTTCCTCACTGGAAGCTCCTTCTACTCATGAAATCACAGGTCCCATACAAAAACAAACACAAATTTTTAGTGTTATTTAAAAATACCCAGACTCTTAACAACAAAAACATTCTTTAGTTTGTCATCTCCAGTCTTAACCACCAGGGGGCACTCGTTTCCTGGCGCATTCCCGGGGCCCTCTCAAGACCCCGCCTCGTGGAGGACAGAAAGGCGTCGGAACCTTTCTTTCCCGGAACTCGTGACAAGGAAGATTGGGGAAACGGTTTGGGTGAGGACAGGAGAGCTCGTCGCAGAGTACGACGGGAACTAGGGAATCATGGCCGCTGTGTCGGTGGAGTTGCAGCAGGAGCGGCGTCTGGTGTGTGTGGAGTACCCAGGCGTGGTGCGGGATGTGTCCAAGATGCTGCAGACCCTGGGTGGAGAGGAAGGAGTTTCCCGGGTCAGAACCGGTGGGACCGGGCGGGGATGGGGGCACGGGTTAATCTTCAGAGCGACGAGAGCTAAGGGGGCCAGGCTGGGAGTTGTTGGGGGGAGGGACGGAGAAGGACGGGGAAGAGGAGGAGGGTGGTCTCCTAGGCAACGGGGCAGGAAGCGCGGCTCCCCACCTGGGCGTGGAGGACTTCTTAGTGCACCTGCCCAGTGCTCTTACCCATGGCTGTCTACTTGATGTTAAAGGTGACTAGCCGGCCCGTCTCCCACTACCCCTACTAGCTTGTGATCACAGTGATCAGATAAGGTATAGGATCATAGATATGGAATTGAAAGGGACCTCAGAAACCATCTGATCTGCCCCCCCCTTTTAATCTAAGAGGAGAGCGAGGCTCAGGCTCACAAACATAGTCAATGTCAGGTTGTATTTAAATCCCATTTCTTTAATCCTGAGTCAGCGTTCCTTCCGCAGTACCATGCTGCTTCCCTATGCTTGTTTCTAGGATCCAGTTCCTGCAAGCCATTAGTTGTTGATTAAATTTTCACTCCTTTGAACTCAGCATTTTTGGTGTTGGGGTGGTAAGGGACCTTTCAAAGCCATCAGGTTTCGTAAGGCTTGTTTACAATTTGGTGTTTTAATATCTTAGGAACAGTCATGTCTGTTGAAACCCATCTTATATACATTTCTTATATTTCACATGTTTGTTTATATATATATATGTACATATGTACACACATATATAATATGTATATTCTATTTCTTTTGAAATCTTTGAGGGAAGGGACTGTCATTATCCCCCTTTCGTTCTAGAGAGAAAATAAGATATAAAGACTTGAAAAAAATTCCATTGTGAAATTGAGTTTCATGGTAAAACCTGGGAGTTCCAACTCCTAGTTCTCTGAGCCTTGGTTTCCTCTTCTATAAAGTGATTAAGTTGCTCTAAATGGTCTTTAAGGTTCATTTCAGGTTTGAGATTTTATATTCTAAGGTCCCTTTCCTCTCTTAAATTTTTTAGCTCTCCTTTTGCGTCTTCCAGTCCTTCCCTAAGTCTTTAGATGAATGTAGAAAGGCTTTGAGTATGATGTGTTTGGGATAACATTTGATGTTTTTCTCTGTCTCTGCTACTTCATCTTCATTGTAGATCTATGCAGACTCAGCCAAAAGGTTGGAGCTATACTTCCGTCCCAAGGATCCATACTGCCATCCTGTGTGTGCCAACCGTTTCCCTACCAGCAGTTTGCTGCTTAAGATCAAGAAGAAGACAAGACGGAGGAGAACAGAGGGTGGAGAAGTGACTGTTGCAGAAGTCAAGTTTGACATGGAAATTTTGGGCATCATTACAACTGTTTACAAATTTCAAGGTAGAGGTCCAGTGAGACTGATTGGTGTCCATGGATGCTGTCAATGTCAGGCCTAAGATAGATGGAGAATGAGAAAGAAAAATACACAAATTATAGTGAGGGATAAAATTTCCCCAACAACTACTTTAAGGCTTAGGCTACCAGAATGGAATAATAAAGATAAAGGACAGTGGTCTTTCTGGGACTAGGTTATTCATAGGATTAAAAAAATAAAATGCTTCAAGCATAAGGTGTTTAAGTGAGCTAGACTAGAATCAGACTGTAGAACTGGAATAGACCTTAGATGTTGTCTAATTCAGTCTCTTCATTTTACAGATCTAGAAACTGAGATGCCAAGAGGGGCTAATTAGTGGCTTGACTAAGGCTAGGGCCCAAGGCTTCTGATTGTTCCATCTTTTTCTATTATGCCATGCTATCTCTTCCTGTCAGTTTCTGTCATGCTGTAATATCATATAGACCAGAAAGAGTCTTGATGTTAATCCAAGCAATTAAATGGAAGGGAGCTTGAGTTCAAGTTCATGTTGTACAGTACTTGCATACAAAGTTAGTTCTGCTACTGCTGTCTCTTCAGCAAAGTAAATGACTATTGTTCTTTCTCCTAACACAGTGCTAGCCAAGAACCTTTAAAGGATGTTAAAAGTTTGGTGCCTAGGAGTCTGGTGTTCTTCAGTGACAATCATAGAACTTATATTATGGCTATGATTATGGTGTGTTTCTCGATCATAGTAATTGTAATTTGTTTACCTCTCCTTCCAGGGATGTCAGATTTTCAGTATCTGGCAGTACACACAGAAGCAGGCTGCAAAAACACTTCTATGTATGACAAAGTTCTTATGCTCAAACCAGAGAAGGAAGAATTCTTCAACCAGGAATTACCTCTCTACATCCCCCCACCAATTTTCTCTCGCCTAGACACCCCAGTGGACTATTTCTACCGGCCAGAAACACAGCATCGGTGAGTATCTTCCCCACTACCACCCTTCATCCAACTTCCAGGAAGCTTTCAAAGAGCTCAGTGATCAAACAAGTGGTACTCTGGGCATGTGGCCACTAGGAGTATTGAATTTCAGATCGATATATTGTCCATTTGACATAGTCCCAGGTAAGGAAGAATTCATAAGTTATTGAGAACTAGTGTGGTGTAGTGCAAAGAATGCTGGCCTGGGGGCAGCTAGGTGGCGCAGTGGATAGAGCACCGGCCCTGTAGTCAGGAGGACCTGAGTTCAAATGTGACCTCAGACCAAACACTTGACACTTACTAGCTGTGTGACCCTGGGCAAGTCACTTAACCCCAATTGCCTTAAAAAAAAAAAAGAATGCTGACCTGGGAATCAAAAGAACTGGCTATGAATTCTGCCTTTAATATTTACTAGGTGACCATGGACAAATCACTTATTCTCTTTGAACCTTCAATTTTCTTATCTGTAAAATAGGAATAATACTTATATAAAGTGCTTTGAAAATTTTAAAGCACTATATAAGTGTTAGCTGTTATTATTATTGATGAGGTTCTGTGAAGTCTGGAGGCCACACTGGAGGATCTAGAAGGCCACGTGTGGCCTCGAGGCTGCAGGTTCCCCACCCCTGGTCTAGGTTCTTCCTCAGAATGGAGGTTCCAGGAGGAACTCACCCACCTGGCGAAGGAGGCCAACAAGCCAAGGACCAGGGAGAAGGCAACTAAAGCATTAGGGCAAAATAAAGCAAATTAAAAAAAAATATTGCTGGATTTGGAGTTAGGAAGACTTGGGTATCAGTCTTGCTACTGATACAAGTTCTGTGACCTTGGGCAAGTCACTTAACCTTTTTGACTTTCTGCTTCCTTATTTATAAAATAGAGATAATAACACCTGTATTACTGTACCTCACAGAGCTGATGTGAAGATCAAATGCAACAATTTTGTTGGTATTTTTTTTCAAACACTACTTTTATTTGTTTTTTATTTTTTGCTAGGCAATGGGGTTAAGTGACTTGCCCAGGGTCACACAGCTAGTAAGTGTCAAGTGTCTAAAGCTGGATTTGAACTCAGGTCCTCATGACCCCAGGGCTAGTGCTCTATCCACTTCACCATCTAGCTGCCCTCTGTTGTTATTTTTAAAAGTTTTGAGATAATTGGGGATATTCTGGTGCTGTTGCAAAAAACAGGATTAGAAATTACTGCCTTAGACAGTTAACTTTGCTTTGGATAGAAGATAGTACTCCAGAAATAAGATTGAACATTCCTCCAAAGGAAAAAAATATATAGATTGAACTAGCATGTGATTTAATTGGAAAGTTCTTTTCCTCTATGGTGATGGTTCCCTTTCCCCTAAACCCTCCCACCCCAGAATTCCTGCCAATCTGCTTTTTTCACTGTGTCTTCTGGATACTCATTCCATAGGTGACAGACTTGCCTTCATTTCAATCTTTTCCTCTTCCCCTCTTTCTGTTTTCTAGCAATCACTGACATCTGGTTCTTCTCTCTCTCTTAACCTCCCCTCCCCCTTCATGATACAGCTTCCCTGGCCACCCATTCTAATACTCATTTCTCTTGGCTCACTGGTGAGGAAAGGGAGTTGGACTACTCTTTGCTTTCCATTGCCACTTTCAGATTTTCCCCTTATCTCCGTCACTCAATAACCTCTTCTCCTTTGAGGCTCATACAGTCTACCTCTTCGACCCACTCAAAATCCTGGTAGCTGTTGTCTACAGACCTCCAGAATTATATTGTTCCTTCCTCAACTAGTTCATTACCTAGCTCACAATCTTTCTTGCCTGTCCAACTTTTGTCTTCATCCTAGGAGACTTCCACATACATATTTCTGCCCTCCTTTTTTCCCTAACTTGACCTTCTGGTGAACCAGTTCATCTTTATCCTGTCTTCTTCTCTTGAGCTCCTCACCCCCTTTTATTACTAGTTCTGCCCTGCCAACTCTCAGCCTTGGATCACTCGTATTATCCGACATCTTTGTTTCAACATAAGTGCTGCTCCAGGAAGGTGGAGAAAATCATACAACTGTCCTGGGTACTACAGATTTATCGTACACAACCTCAAAGAGCCCTCACTATTGCTAGGCAGTTCTTCTATACTTGCCTTGTCAGTTCACTATCCCACTCTTCCTAGTGTCTCTTCCAAATTTTTTCATCCCTCCTCAAAGCTCCCATGGTTCCTTCTCACTTCACCCTCTCAGCTAAGAACGCTGCCTTGTGTATTTACATAAAAAAATTGAGGCCATTCACCATGAGCTCCCTCTTCTTTCCTCCTCCTTATCTCATATCACTCAGATGCCTTCTGCTACTATCTCCTTCGCTCTGTCTAACATGATGAAGTGGTCTTATTCCTTGTTAAGGTAAACCTCTCTACCTGCTCAAGCAGTCCCATTCTATCTTGTCTCTTTAATAGATTTCCCCCTTTGTCATTTCCACTTTGTCACTTATCTTTGATCTCTCCCTATCCACTGTCTGCTTCCCTACTGCCTACAAACATGCCCATGTCTCCACATACTGAAAAAAACCCTCACTTGATCCTTCTATCCCCACTATCATTCTACTTCTCTTCTTCCCTTTGTAGCAAAACTTGAGAAGGCCATTTACAACAGATGCCTTTTCTTCCTGTCCCCTCACTCTCCTCTTAACTCCCTGTGATCTAGCCTCTGACTTCTTCATGTCACTAAAACCACTGTCTCCAAAGTTACCAGTGGGGACAGCCAAGTGGTGCAATGGATAGAGCACCAGCCTTGGAGTCAGGAGGCCTGAATTCAAATGTGACCTTAGACACTTGGCTAGTGGTATGATCCAGGACAAGTCACTTAACCCCGATTGTCTCCAATTTAAAAAAAAAACAACCAAACCCAGCAACAAAGTTAGCAGTGATCCCCTAACTGTCAAATCCAATGTTCTTTTCTCAGTCCCCATCCTTCTTTACCTCTCCAACCTTTGGTATTGTCGATCACCCTCTTCTTCTTGATCCTCTGTTCTCTCTAGGTTCCTGGGATAACACTCCCTTCTGGTTCTCCTCCTACCTGTCTGATCTCTCTTCACCCTCTTTTGCTGGATCCACATCCAGGTCATGGTGTCTCACAGAGTTCTGTCTTGGACTCTTTTCTTTTCTCCATCTGTACGACGTCACTCGATGATCTCGTTGGCTCCCATGCCTTTAATTATCATCTCTATGCTGATGCTTCTCAGATCTACATATACTACCTGAATCTCTCTACTGACCTTCAGTCTCATATCTCCAGTTACCTTTCAGACATCTCAAACTGGACGTCCAGTAGATATCTGAACCTCAACATGACCAAATTGAACTCATTATCTTTTCCCCTAATCTTCCTCCTTGCCTTCCAAATTTCCCTGTCACTGTTGAGGGCACCACTATCCTGTCTGTCCCCTAAGCTTGCAACCTAGACATCATCCCTGCCTCCTCACTCACTGTCTCTCAGTAACACCCCTCCAGCATATCCAATCTATTGCCAAGGCCTATCGATTTCACCTTTGCAACATCTCTTGAAAATGCCCCCTACTCTCCTCTGAAACTGTTATCATCCTGGTGCATACTCTGTTGCAATAGCCTGCTGATTGTTCTGACTGCCACAGGCCTCTGCCCACTCCCATCCATCCTCTATTCATCCACCAGCATGATTTTCCTAAAGCACCAATCCAACCATGTCTCCTTACTCAGTAAACTCTAATGGCTCCCTGTCACCTCTAGCATCAAATACAAAATCCTTTTTGGCATTCAGAGCCCTTCATAGACCCTAGTCTTCTTACACATTATACCCACCTATATATTCTTTGATTTAGTTACACTGTTCCAGTCACTGTGTGACTCTTTGTGACCTGACTTGTCTTGGTTATTTTTGTGTTTTTGTATTTTGATCTTATCACTGACCCCCAACCAGAGGTCTTACAGGTACCATTAAATTGAGTATATTAGCCTATACCGTTTGCCTTCACCTTCCATATATTTCCTAGGATAATGTTAATAGCTATCCATAATGCAAGATTTCTTACGTTAAATCAGATCCAGAGAGTACTTGAAACTCAACTCAAAGCTAATGGTGGAATCAGTAATGACTATTGTATCCACAGAAAGATACATGTGAAGAGCCCAAGCTTGCCAAACCCTAAATGGTCATAGCTGGCCTTTGAAGCTAGAGGGCAGTGTTTACTGTCAATCGTTTCTCTCCAACTATTGCTAATATGAAAAATGTCATTTAGCTGCATCTTTTAGGAGTAAATTCTCACCCTTCACTGCTTCCCCCAGTTTAATATCATGGTATTGCTATTTTAGTGCTTTTTAAATTGCTAATAAAACAGCTTGCTTCCCCATATAATCAGTAGAAGCAGATAAATGGTTTCTGAGGTCCAGAATGAATTGACTCAGTTTTACTGTAGATAAACTGAGAGTCAGCTCTGTTTATATACCCCTGTCAAGCTGCTGCTAACTCTGGGAATCTGATTCTTTTTTTGCCATCCGGTAATCATTTATTGGCCTAATTGGGGACCAAGTGAAAGTGTGCAGTAGGGTATATATTTGTGTCTCTATTCCTTCTGACCGTACTGAAGCGATCTAAGTATATTGGTACGAAGGAATCTTGCCATAGTTGGTGTGTCATTTCCCTCCCCACCCCCCCCATCTCTGCTACAGCCCAGTTTTTCATTGGCTTTAGGTGGGGCAAGAAGGTAAAGAACAACAGGGAGTCCCAAGTGTCCAGGTTTCTGTTTTGCTAATGAGACCATTTGTTTGGTCTTATTTGCTTTCTGTTGAAGGAAAAAGACAAATTTTTGGGAAAAAATAAAGGGGAAGGGCACCTGCCTTTTTTCCCCTGGAAGGAAATTAATTATTCTTCTAGGTTGTCCTTCAGATTGCCAGAAAAACTCATATATCACTCTGCTTCCAGGGGCTTCCTCACTTGACCCCTTCTTAGAGACAGAATTGAGTTTCTTACTATAGAGGTGATAACTGAAAAACTTGGGAAAAAGGCACCTGGAGTGATTTGAGAACTAATGTTCATAGATGTCTTGCCTTTATCTGTTTTCAATTTTCTTATTTTTAACTGAAATCAAGCTCCTTTATATTGGTTCTGCTGACTTCCCAAGGCCTCCCTCACAATTTTAAACATATTCAGAATTGCAGTGACTTTCCCATGCACTGGAAAAATGGAAATGTTTCACTGGGAAACCCTTCATCTGGTAGTTCAGGTTTCTGTTGGTAACAAGGAAAATTGACTATCCCAAAATATTATTTTGAAGTAGGAAATTCAGACTACTTTTACTTCACTCTTCTTGGTGGTTTAAAAAAAAAGTTTGCTAAAGTACTAGAATGAATGACCAAGAGTGGATCTCTTTTGGGAATTTAATAAAAAAATAAAGAGAATCAACTCAACAAATAGTTAATATTGTGAGTGTTGAGGACACTGCATAGATCAGTAAGATATATACCGCTTAGGAGGTTACAATTTGGAAAGATTATCTAGCAGTTATACAAATAATTATAAAACAAGTATACAAAGTAAATAAAACAAAAGTTTTAAAAAATGCTATACTATATGACATCTAAAGGGAAAAAGGTCATTTCCAGCTGGGGAATTGTGGTACTTCATATCTGTCAAGTTTAATTATCACCCTTCATAAAGTCAGGGGAAATGGAAAGAATGACTTTTTGAAGTTCACTGTCTCTATGCGGAAAATTGTATTGTTTGCCTTCTCCCTCCACTCATTTACCAAGATAACTCTAATAGCTATCCAGGACGTATGATTTCTTATATGAAATCAGATGCAGATAGAACCTTTCAGCTTTGCAAATTGTTTTCAAAAACCAATAGCCTTTTTAAAAAAAATCTCTTTTGGGTTACAGGATTTTTTTTTTTAGTTGGAAGAGACATTAAAGATAATTTAGTTCATTCTCTTTATTTTACAGAGGAAGATATTTGAGGTATAGAGAGGCTAAGTGACTTGCCCAAGGGCCCCTTATTGGTTAGTGACAAAGCTTAGGTTTAGAACTTGGATGAGAAGTCACCAAAGGAAGGTACTTCTTGAGCTAAGTTTTGAAGGAAACAAGGGATTCTAATGAATGACTAAAGAAAAAATCAATGTGAGCTGCCACGTCTGCTCTGCAAGGTAGGGAACCTGGAGTGGCCCAGCCCACCATCATTGGAAAGGAAAGAATGGGCCTGAAGGTCCAAGTGAAATGAGAATTCTGGATTCCTTTCTGCAGGGGCAGGGGAGGGGAAGAGGAGGGATCCTTGGCAGGAAGGTTGGGGGAGAAGAGTGTTCCCTGATTGTTATTCCACCATGCCCTCCAGCACCCAGTGTAATGGCTTCCACTGGAGGCAGTACTTTCATGGCATTAGAGATAGTCTGTGTAGAAGATTGGAGTCCAGAAATGTAATGACGTGGGAGGAACAGCAAGATGGCCACTATGCCTGGACAAGAAAGGAAATAAATATAATGAAAATGGAAATGTACGTTGGGGCCAGGCTGTGAAAAGCTTTGCAAGCTGAACAGGTGTTCCTATTTGATCCTAGAGGTAGCCATTGGAGATTTTTTTAAGGATGTGAGGAGGAGGAGACATGGGCAGACTTGAGGAAAATCACTTTATCAGCTTTGTGGCAGATAGATAGGAGAGAAGAGAGACTTTAGGCAGGGTGACCAATTAGGAGGATATTGCAGTGGGGGCAAGGTGGTTGGGAGGATGGAATCTGATAGCTGTATGAATTTTAGGCTTTTTGAAAATTGATTGCATAGGGAGTGGAAGGGAGAAGCAGGTATTACATTTCTTCTAAGCTCCAAGACTAGTTTCATTTAGGTTTATAGATCATGATTACATGCCTGTATAGTAACTCAGATTTATATAGTACTTTAAAGTTTAAAAAGTGCTTTTCTCACAGCAGCCCTGTGGAGGTAGTACGCATATTATTCCCATTTTACAAATGAGTAGACTGAGGCTCAGAGAGGTCCAGTGCGTTGTCTGTAGTCGAATAGCTAGTAAGCATCAGAACCAAAATTTCAGCTTTGCTGTCTTTACTACAAAGCTAGCATTCTTTCTATGATACTATACTCCTCCTTTATAGGTCTGTATCTTTTGCTAAAGTTATTAGTTAAAGCAAAGATTGTGGTATAGAGGTAACCTTGGAATCTCGAAGATTATACCAGTGGGGCACATGCTCTGTCAGTTCTTACCAAGGTAAAAAGACTTTGGGCAGAGCTCTGTGACAGCTTCTATGTCTCTTGTCCAAGGAAAAAAAAAACCTTGACAGGTTTTGAGAGACTCATCAATAAATGGTTGGCCAAGTTTGAGGATGTGGTGATTTGTCTTGTTTGACAGTATTGTACTTGTTCTGAGGAAGGATGGAAGTGGGTGGGAAATGTCTTTGGAAAGTGAAAGTGATATTTAAAAAAAGAAAAGGTTTCATTAAAATATTGAAAAAAAAATAAAAGATTGGCCACTAGGTGTTGAACTTTTTTGACCACAGCAAATCATAAAACCATTGGGAAAATGTGGAAAGGGAATCCACCTTAATAAAAGCATAATTCCCTGAAAATTTAAAGGATGTCTGTTACGCTTGCTGTGCTCTTACATTGTGTCTGGTGTGTTCTCCCTCAGGGAAGGCTACAATAATCCACCTGTCTCTGGTGAGAACCTAATTGGCCTGAGCAGAGCTCGGCGGCCTCACAATGCCATTTTTGTGAATTTTGAAGATGATGAAGTGCCCATGAAGCCACTGGAGGCTGCTGTACAGACCTGGAAGAGGCTGTGCACTAATCCCATAGACAGGAAGATGGAAGAGGAACTGAGAAAGGTAGTACCTGGGACACTTTATACTGTGACACTTCATCAGAAGAAGGCCAGGCCTGCAATTAGCCACCTCTTATTTGCTCAGCTTTTTGGATTTGGGCATGTTTACTCTTTTTTTTTAATCAGTTCATTAGCAGATGTGAATTTTTCACCTCCAGATTTCAGTTCTAAAAGTAATAAGTACTTCATCTTGTAATCTCAGGAGAACTCTTCCTTCACATCTCCACCAAGCAGCTTTTGCTGGTGTAGACACCTGGATTGGGGGTGGGGTGGGGAGGAGTGCTTGGATTGTCCAAATGAAGCTTATAATTGCAACTCCAGGATTTAATTAGTTCTCAGGTTCTCCCATTACTCCACATCCCTTGCCCCTGACAAAGTTTGCATTATTTTATTAATTTGTATGTATCTTTGGAAATATCAGCATTCTGTTTTTTCATCTAGATTGTAAACTTCCTGTTTACCTTGTTTTACAATGCTTGGTGCACAGTGAACAGTGAATCCAATAGATAGTTACTGAATCAGGCCTTATTCTCTATTTAAAGGGAAGCTAAACTGAGGTTATACATTTCCCACTTAAAAGTTTTCTACTTGTTACCAGGACCAAAATAATGCATCACCAACTTAAATGATTTCTAGAAGTACTGTTTCAAAGAGCTTAGAATGGAAAAAGTGTAAGAGTTTTAGGCCATGATGTTATAGAGTGTGTTTAGCCCTTCCTGTGGCCTCCTCTTTTCCCTGATAGCAGTTACTAGCCACAGATCCCGTGGTGTTCTAGAGTGTGTCTGTATTGGAACCTGTAAGTAATATTTTTTCTCTACCCTTCTTTTTCTAGCTGTTTGACATTCGTCCTATCTGGTCCCGGAATGCTGTCAAGGCCAACATCAGTGTCCACCCAGATAAACTCAAGGTCTTGCTTCCCTACGTGGCCTATTATATGGTGAGTATCCTGACATCTTCTACCTGCACCTAAGCTTTTTGTAATGCTTTGGTACCCAACAATTTAGAGTGGAAAGAGGATTTAGAAATCACCTACTTAAACAGTCATAGAATCATAGCAGTAACCTTGGGATCATAGCTCTAGAGTGAGAAGGGACCTCAGAGCAGTCCCTAATACCTATGTTAACTTTACTGTGCAGTACTGTGCTCTTTCTCCATTTCTGCTCCCTTTCTCAGTGTTCCACAGCCTCCTACTCCCTCATTAAAAAAACCAAAAACTAAAAAAAAAATCCACCAAGTGAAAGCAGAAGAACAGATACATAGAGAGACTGCCACCATGAGCTGAAGGGGGCTTGGCTTGAGACCTCTGGTGCCAAGAGAGGCATGTCTGGCCCCTATGTGGTTTTTTTTCTGTCCATCTATGCTTGGGTACTGAAGGTCTGTCCCTGGCCCCTTCATGTCAACTGTCCTCTCTTGTCTGTGTCCATGTCTGGCTTCAACCTGTCTGCCCCCTTTGTATTTTTCCTCTCAGTTCTAGCCAGGCCCCTAGGTGGCTTGTCCTGGTTCTTGATTCTTTGTTCCCGCCCCTCACATGTCCTGGCCCCTTCCCTCCATGGACAAGAGGCCCTTTCCTGCCTACTTCTCTCTGTCCTTCCCTCTCTGGGAAAATTTATGTTATGTAAAATCACTTTATGTAGAGGTATGCAGAAGAGTCTACTCATGTAAAGCAAGAACTGTCTGTATTAGGAGGATTTCATTATCATGATCAGTGTGTACCTGAGAGCTAGCCTGGAATTTAATGGTTCTTCAGGATCCTGGAGCCTTAACCCACCTCATGGAATTGTACCTTTTGCAGATAACAGGTCCCTGGAGGAGTTTGTGGATTCGCTATGGATATGACCCCAGAAAAAACCCAGAAGCCAAGATTTATCAAGTCCTGGATTTCCGAATTCGCTGTGGAATGAAATATGGTAAAATGAACCACCACCATAACAATAAAAACCAAAGACAAAACCATGCCTCAGTTTGTTTGCTTTCTTTTAGTCTTTTTAGTTTCTTGTTTGTTGTACACTTATCCTCTTTTCTAATAGGGATGAATTTCTAACTCTCTATTACAGGTAGGCTAAGAATATTTTCCTATGTTTGCTTAAATAAGGATTTCTTGGTAGTTTGGGCTTCTGATTCTCTTCAGTCCCAGTCTAGTATTTCTTATTGTCTTGTGACTCTTCTTGATCCTAGTCTGTTCCTCTTTGAAGCCAGCTCTGTTTCTTTGTGCCCAACCTCATTTGCTGTTCTCTCCTTTATTTCCAGGCTATGCCCCCAATGACATGCCTGTCAAAGCAAAACGCAGCACCTACAACTACAGCCTCCCCATCACAGTCAAGAAGACTCGTAAGTATGTGGCTTTCTAGCAAACAGAGGAGTGATTTGCCTTCAAGCCAGCTACCCAAAATGAGCCATATGTGCAGACAAATGGATTCAGATTGAGATCATCCTAGAATGGTACAGAGGCTTGCTGTGGAACGAATGAATGAAAAAAAAATCCATTTATTAAGTGTTTACTGTGTACCAAACACTGTTCTAAGCATTGGGTGTACAAATAGAAAAAGCTAGACAGTACTTCATCTCAGGTTGCCCCTGCAGTCTAATTGACGGAGGTAGCCCAGAAAAGAACGTTTAACTACAAAGCACATCCAAAAGACTGGAAGTCCTCAGGTTCAATGATGAGGGAGATGGCAAGGCCCAGAGTCCCGTAGCTTACCAGTGCTAAGGGACTGCAGGAAGTAGAGGCAGAGCAGATGGTAAATCGTTCTGTTTCACAGTGAATGGAGTTGTTAACATCAATATTACTCAAACTCTTTGAATGGTCTAGCAGCCCAGGGAAGAAGGAGCAATAGAGGGTAGGGCACTACCCCCCCAGTGGTAGCGTTCTTCCTACTTGGCCGTCCCAGATGGGTTGGGGAAGGTGAGTGTGAGACGAGAGGATGGGTCATCCCAAGTAGCAGTGGTTCTTCCCACCACTATGGGTTCAGATCTGGAATGGATCTTTAATAGTAGCCAGTCCATTTTCTCATTTGGCAAATGATGAAACTGAAACTCTGGGACACAGAATGTCCTGTCTAAGGTTACACCAGTAGTAAGTAACGGAGTCTGCATTTGAACCCAGCTTTTTTGATTCTGAATCTAATTTCTAGTACGTGTATATCTCCACCATGAAGTCCACAGGGAATTCAGTTCCGTATATAAGAGATGATCAGCAGGAATGTAGACATCAAGAGAGTAAGTGGAATTGGATACAGTATTTAAGAGCGCTGAATTCCAAAGCTGCTTGTCTTCTCCCAGCCAGCCAGTTGGTCACCATGCATGACCTGAAGCATGGACTAGGCACATCAGGGACAGGGGCTGTCAAGAAATCAGCCTCCAACAAGTACAAGCTCAAGGTGGGTGCTGTCTGCTTTGTCCAAAGCAGTTATGGGAAGAGGGGCAGCTAACTTTGGTTCTTAATCTCTGCTAAGTATGAAAGCTGTGAATCATCCCCTTTCGGGGGATAGGCCTATCTGTAGGCATTGCCAGTGAACTTCTGCAAATAAATGCCCTTTGGCCCTTTCAGACCTTGTTCGTGAACATAGTTTTATAGCATTCAGGATAAAACTGCAGGGTGTAAGTGCTCAGTCAACAAACTGAGTATCCACTAGGCAGAGAAGTTCAAAGAACAAGTATTTATGTTCCTAGCCTTGTATTCCGGGGAGCTTTTAGTCTGGTTGGGAAGATAAGGTATAACCATATGAATCAAATAGTGAATAGTATTAAAACACTGTGTCATCAAATAATATATTATGTGGTATAGACAGCAAGTGTTATAGAATTTCAGAGATAGGAGAGAGAGATACCATTTGGGACTGCAGCCTTTCTTTTCTTTCCATCCCCTCACAAACCCACTGTTGTTTCTTCTCACCCCTGAATGCTTTAAGTTTGTAGTACCTGAAACAGTATATCTTGGTGGCTGGCACTGAGCTGCATAATATCTCTTTGATGGTGAAAACGCTGAGAGGAGTAGCTTCTATTAACCCTTCCTGTTTTTGTGTTCCCTCAGGACTCTGTCTATGTCTTCCGGGAGGGGGCCCTGCCACCGTATCGGCAGATGTTCTATCAGCTCTGTGATTTAAATGTGGAAGGGTATGATGAGGCCCTGGGTCTTGGGAGAAAGGGTCTGGGGAAACAGACTTCTGAACTTCAGGCCGTTTTTTTCATCTGTGCTAGGAAGTTAGATTTCTGGCATGTTTGGTTATGTTCACCTCTCAAAAGCTGTTCTCAACCAACTCACTGTATAATACATTTCTCTTAAGCTAGTTAGTCTTTGTTAAAGCAGAAGGAATTAGGCTATACTACATTTACTCCTGTTCATCTAGTTGATCACAGCACTTCTTTGCCACATGCACGTGTTTGGATGGGAATTTCTGAACTCAAATATGGCTGTTCTCTTTTTTTGATTAGCAGCTTTGTTTGGCATGGCCTTGGGAGACTGGGAGGGTTGCTAGTGAAATCCAGAACTTTTTGTGGATTCAGTTAATTGCACAGGGAGAGAGAACACCTTGTTCCTCATGACAACTCAGTGGCAGAAAAACAGACTCAATCCAGGATGATTAGGCACGTTTTTCCCTTTACCATCTCACAGACAGCCTATGTAAACTACACTGGCTGGCCTTGTTAGCACTTTCTTTGGACCTTGATTTGCCCACTGACCCAGCCCTGGCTGCTTGTAGGTTACAGAAGATCATCCATCGTAATGATGGGATGGAGACCGAGTGTACAGAGCGTGATGGATGGTGTCTTCAGAAGACCAGTGATGACCTGAGGGACACAATGTCCTTGATGATCCGGCAGATCATTCGCTCCAAGAGGCCTGGTGAGAAGCTCCTGGGCTCTCAGAGTATGTTGAGCCCAACGACAGGGCTAAGTTGAAGGCCTAGCTTTATTGTTAAGTCATTTCATCTCTTTGGACCTTGGGTCTTTCTAGTCTTCCTAATATTTTAGAATTTTAGAATTAATAATTTAGAATAGTGTTGGCTTTTGGGGTAGCTTCTTATGGAACCAGATTTAGGTAGTGTCAGGACCCCTCTTCACTTATGGGAAAGGGCTAGATGGGCATTATGTGATAGTTAAGCTACGGGACCAGCTCTGAGTGGCTCCTGAGAATTGCGTTTAATTTTCTCCTTGAGGTAAGAGTGGGACAAGAATTTAGCTGGTCTCATCATTCCTATTTCTTCTCGTTCCAGACCCCTTTCCCTTCCCTGTTGATAAGCAAAAGTGGCATGTGGGGGCCAAGACTATCACTGTGCTCCCATAGCACTATCACCCCTTCCACTTCTACAGACAGTGCAGTGAGGGTGAAAACCATAGCAGAAGGGGAAGGGAAAGAAAGAGGGCCTGCGCCTGTGCTGTGCACGTATTGAGAGTAGTGAAGGAAGCCAGGGTTTGGGAGACCCATCAACGCTTCATGCCCATGAATGACTCCTCCTGTTAGTCAATAGGATCTCTGAGCCATATCTGTTCTTTTGGGTCAATGGGTTTGGGTAACTAAGGCAGCACATCCTTCTCTTTCTGTTTTGGACCCAGCTTTGTTCTCAAGTGCTGCCAAAACTGAAGGTGGAAAAGAACAGTTAACATATGAATCTGGGGAGGATGAGGATGATGATGAAGAAGAGGAAGAGGAGGAGGAAGAGGAAGAAGAGGAGGAAGAAGAGGAAGAAGACTTTAAGCCCTCGGATGGGAGTGAAAATGAAATGGAGACTGAGATTTTAGACTATGTGTAATAGGAGGAGGACACAGCCTATAGGCCCCCTAACTTAGTCTGGGTATTACTATACCCTTGCCTTGAGAAAGAAGCAGCTAAGAGTGCCAGATGGCATTTGCAGGGACTCTCAATAGATGTAGCTCCCATCTAGCTAAGGTCTCCTGGGACTATTCTGGCTTGTCTCATGTACTGAATAATACCCCGAATTACTCATTCCTGGATCCTAAGAAATCCCCTAGCTTCAGTTATACCCTGCCATTAGACCATCTCTGATGCCATTATCCAGTTGTCACATGTGCCCACTATCTCTTAACACCCCTGTGGCTATTCGTAAATGTTATGAGGTAGAGACAGTGCGGCCTTGGGAGTTCCATGGAACAATAAAAGGTCAGATCATCCTCTTTGTAGGCTGTGGACTAGAGGAGCATGACAAGAGTCCAGCAGGGACATGGCCTCTGAACTTGGAGTGGTTACCCTGGGTGGACAGGACCAAGGCAGTACGGACAGTAGCTCCTAGATGTTCTCAGTCCAGGACCTTTCGGCTGCTGTTGGGTTTGGTTGTGGCCAGTTTTCTGTAATTCCTACAGGGATTATTAGCTCTGCTGAGAGCATACTTTCTTAATGGAAGTTTTCTTTAATAAATAATTTTTCCAAAGGACTGGATGATTCATGTGCTAGAGTTTGTTTTTGTTTTTGTTTTTTTTAATCAAAGGAGAGACTTGGGAAGGAATTTAGCACTTCCTCGGGCCTATGGCTCCTCCTGTGTCTGTGAAATCAGCCATCTTTTATGGCTTGAAGACTTAGAAATATTAGTAAGAAATGAGAAGATGAAAGTAAACAAAACAGCAACAGAGTTACCAGAAGGATATCAAGAAAGATGAATTGCTGAATGCAGTTTTCCAAATTGCCTCTTAACTTCTAGTCTAGGTTCTTTTGGGATTTAATAGGATTGTTATCCCATCCTAGTCTTACCTCCAGATGTGGACCCTCTGTTGCCAGAGTCCACTGTCTTGCCTTGTAACTGCCCTGGCCCTTCAGCTTCTTGCCTGGCTCTGAAAAATTGCTCACCTCTGCTTGAAGTTGTTTTGTTCTGACTTTGTTATATCCCTCTTGGAGGTATCTGAGGTAATGGAGGTTTTTTTTTTCCCCTCTCAACCCATTTTTCTTTGATTTGATGCTTCCTCCATACTTTTTTTTTCTTTTAGTAATTGATGATATCTTTCCACTTAAAGTCTTCCTCTAATACTTACTTGTGTTCTGAAGATGACGTTGGGTTTGCACCAGAGCACAAGGTCTGGCAGCAGCTACAAGTTAGAAAGGCTTTGTGTTTGACAGACTGCATGTCTGTGATCCTAAGGATCAGCCTAGCTTATCACCATGGAAAGGCTTATCACCAGGCATGCCTTAGCTGATGAATTTTTTGGACACAGCAGCTTATTGTATTTTGCCTCCATCTTGCTGGTCAAAGGAATTTCCCCATTCACACCTGCAAACCCTTGGTTCTCTTTCTCCCTGTGTCTGCTCTGTCCTACTTTAGGCTCCAACATGAAGGTTGAAGGTTATCGGAGATGGAATGGATTTTGGACTGTTTAGTCTGTAACTCCCTCATTTTAAAAATGTGGGAACAGGCAGAGGCGGGGAAGGCACTTTGTCTAAGGTCACACAAAGAGTTAGTGGCAATAGAACTAAAACCTCAGTCTCCTGACTCCCATTCCAGGCTTGTGTCTGCCATACTGCGCTCCTTAACAGTTCTTTAAATGTTGTCAGACCAATTTGTTACTTTATCAGCTCTCTAAGTTCTAACTTGGCTATGTTATGTCCTATTCGTTAAGAAAGAAGGAGGTCTGTAGCTTCAGACTCCTGCTGCCTCTCCTAAACCTCCCATCAGAACAGCTAAAACCTAGTAACTGGACTAAGGCCAATTTCCTCTCTCTTTTAGTTTTCCTGCTCACTCTCTGGATGAGAATTTCATATGTCATAAAATAGCTGCCAAGGAGAAATGAGCAGAGAATTCTGAAATGGTCCAAGTTTCTCATCAGAAAGTTATCAGTCAATAGGTCTAATGAGTGCTCGTTTGGGCTCATCATTGGACTAAGTGCTGTGACATGGGGAATTGTCCCAGTTCTCATGGAAATTATAATCAAGTTGGAAAGATATAATTCATAAAATTATAATGAATAGTAATACATGTCAGTATTTAATCAAGTGCTGAATTGTATGGTAAAGACCTTAAATGCTGGTAATTTAGAAGAAAGCGTGATCAGTGAAGAATAATTGAGGGAAATTTCAGAAAGGAGGCAGAATTTGACTTGGCCCTCGAAGCCTGGTAGAATTGAGGTCAGGGGAGGGGAGACTGGCTTGAATTCCCTAGACCAGTATTGTCAGAGATCTAGTACTTGAAAGTTCTAATGCCTTTTTTTCTTTCTTCATGACTGTTCTCTAGTAACAAACAGCTTCAGACCAAGCTAAGTCAGTCCAATGTTCAGATAAATAAGTGAACATTTACCGAGCACTTACTGTGTATGGGGCCCTGCAGTAGTTACTGGGGCTTGAGGAGGGGATGAAGAGAAGAGGGCTGGTAGAGGAGACAAGGTATGTACACAAAAAGTTAACCGGCAATAAAGGTGCTATAGATGTGCCCATGACTACTTAACGTTAAATAATAAGAACTCAGAAGGGAAATAAATGTGGGCTGAGAAGGCTTTATGGAGAAGGTAGGGCTTGAGCTGGGCCTGAGAGGATTTAGAGAGGCAAGTGGAGAAGCACATCGGAGGTCTAATGATAGGAATGTCCATGGCCTGTTCATAGAAAGGAGACCATATGACTGGAACCTAAATATAGAAGAAGCAGTAGAAATAAAGTTGGAAAGTTAGGGTCTGGCCAGCTTTGGGGATGCACTGAATACCAGGAAAGGAGGGTGAGTTGAAAATCAGAGCAAAAAGCTTGGTCACTGACCATAAAGAAAGAGTACTGACTTTCTTTTCAAGGTAAGTCTCTCAAGTGAAATGGGAGTGGGTCCAAGGTTTTGGTGGTGGAGGGTAGGGTAAGGAAGAGTGAACCAAGGGTTAGTAGAAGTTGGGCAGAAAGTACTATTAGATTGGGAACTGTGTGTGGCCAAAACAGGAGGACCCCAAGAAGTGCCCTGGGCAGGGGCTTAAATTAGAAAGCGTTGACAAGACTTAAAAAATGATTGATGGTGCTCTAAGGGCTCCCTTGCTGCGCTTTCCACTAGCTATTCCCTCCAGAGCCAAATTTTTGTGCCAGCTCATTATGGCCTGGGCTTGGGGATCTTCACTGACACTCTGTACTATGCAGTCAACAGGGCTGGGGCTCTTCCCGATAACTCCTCTCACAACTTTCACACTGGTAAGGATTTCCTTTTCACTGGGGACTTTAAAATATTGGCCTAATAGCGTAAGACAAATGGAGTTTTCCCCACCACCTCATGTGTGTGTATTTGTGTGTATGTGTGTGTATGTGTGTGTATGTAACATGCTTTCTCTCCATGGTATTCACTCTTCCTGTGCCTCACCTTACAATTCCCACCTGTCACCAGGAAATGCATCTGACATCTCCGCATCCCATTGACCTCTCCCCTGGGCCAAACCTTTCCCTGTCCCAGAATGACTGTCACCAGCCATTCTTCTGTGGCCCTGCTGCCTTTTCCTTGTCCCCAAGAGAAAAGATTGCTAGTTTTGGCTTAGCTTATAAGCATCTGAGGAAGATGCCTTTTAGCTGCTTGAGTCTCTTTCCTGGAGAAGATCTACCAGCATGTAACCCATTGCCATCCTTCCCTGCCACAGGTCCCCCTCCCCGCAAATAACCCAGAACACCACAATTAAGCACAACAGTCCCCTCTCAATTATCCACATGTGGCTTTGTGGATTTAGTGAAACAACTGACATAACACCAGCCTAACTTTCTTGTTTTCTGAATACCTTTCCATTGTGGTCAGCTTAGACATGCTCAGGGAAGGCACATTTGTTTAAATATTAACCTTTGAACAAAAGGAGTATAATTAAAATAGTACAAGGGGAAGCTCTGGACTGGGAGTCAGGAGACCTGGCTTATGTTTCTGAATCTGCCACTAATTTATTGTGTGACTGGGCAAGTAACTTGCCCTTTCTGGCACTTAGTTTCCCCATCTACAAAACAAGGAGACTGAACAAGACAATCTGTAATGACCCTTTTGTCCTGTAGTTCTAGAATTAAGAAGTATCTATCCATAGGCTCAGAATTGAAAGGAACCTCAGAGATCTTCTAGTCTAAGCTATATCCAAGCAGGAAGCCCCTCTACATATCTTCTCAAATAATCACCTGCCTTCCTGTCGAAGACCTCCAGGGATGGGGGGTTCATGGCTCTAATTGTCAAGAGGTTTTCCTGAACATTAAGCAAAAAAGTCTCCCTTCCTATTTTTCAGCCATTATTCCAAGTCCAGCCTGAGGAACAAGCAAAGCAATCCTTCTACATGTCAGTCCCTTCAAGTACCTGAAGACAGGGCAGCTAGGTGACGCAGTGGATAGAGCACCAGCCGTGGATTCAGGAGGACCTGAGTTCAAATCCAGCCTCAGACACATAACACTCACTAGCTGTGTGACTCTGGGCAAGTCACTCAACCCCACAAAAAATACCTGAAGCCATTGTATCCTCCTAATTCTTCTCCCTAGTTCCTTCAGTCAGTCCTCAGTTTTTTCCCCTTCTTGGTTGTCCTCTGGACAGTTTCTCCATGACTTCCATAAATGTGGATCCCCAAATGGAACAGGTGTGTCCTTACCAGGACAGCCCTTTCTCCTTCCAGTTACTAGTCAGATATTCAAATGGATCTGAGAGCTTTTTGATGTTGGTCAACAAACATTTATTAGATGCCCAAGCACTTAATGATGCTAGATCCTTGTGCACTATTGATACTGCCTCTACTGTGGCAGATTACAACCCATCTATGCCCACCGATCCTGTGTAACTCCTGTCTATATCCTTCCCTAAGATGGACCCCCAGTGAGCTGGGGCCCTTCCTCACTTTCTCCTGACCTGAGGATTCCAGGGGAGCCCACATGTCCACTGGTTATTGTTCTTCCCATATGGCCACCCTCTCTTTTTGGATCATACGTTTCTTTGTTGTCATCCTTTACTCTGGTTCTTCATAGTTCCTTATTTGCTATGGATTGTGGTCTATTCATATCCACTGTGTTTCTTCATTGCTCTCCGATACTAATTTTTAATTCTCCAGAGACTATAATGTTCTGTGATGTTTTTGCTTTTCTTTGCATCCCTCAATCTTAACACAGTGCCTGTCATATAGTAGGTACTTAATAAATGCTGTTGATTTTTCTGACTGACTTATAGCCATGCAACAACACTGGCAGAATATTACTATTAAAAAGATGCCTCTGCTGAATGTTGGCTGTCTTTGTAACCCTGTTGATTCTTATTAAGTTTGCTAAAACCTTCATATAGTTTCCCAGTCTCTCTTGATTTTTTTTAAATCAACTTTATATTTATCCCTTTTATTTCAGTTTGTTGTAATCTCTTTGGACCTTGATTCTGTCATCCAATATATTTAGACCCAAACACAAAACCTGAACAATTCATTCCAAAAAAGCAAGACCATATAAATGAGGTATTAGTCACTACTTTATACTATCTACTGCTCTGGACTTGTCTACATTATGACTTGGCTTCCATTTGTGCAGATCACTGAGGTTTCCCCATAATGGATACCCATCTGCTTGTGGGGCCCAAGTAGGAGCCCTACCAGCTCTGGTGCCTACCCTGTGGGAGAGCATGTGCTAATAATTCATTCTGGTTTGGTAGAACTCAGGGACGTAGGGAGGGAAGGGAGCCTCAGTGCAGGTTCCATTTCCCTGATATAGAAAATGGAGGCTGAAACCCTAATAGCAGGTGCCAGAATTCTCTTAGTGACCCATACCTTGCTTGATTTTGTGACCTTTGCCCCCACTGCCACCTGTGTCTGCTCCCAGGTAGGCAGAGACAGGCACAGGTGTAATGCTAGCAGTTAGATTTTGCCCAAGGGCTCTTAGGCTTGGGAAAATATGTGTGTGTTTTTTAGCAATCTTGGCTCTCTCAGTACTCTTTCTGCTCCCTTCCCCACCCCACCCCCACCCAGAGAATAGTAAATTGGTCTTTCTAGTTAGGTACCATCCCAAGTGAGTGGCCCCAACATAGGGTGGAGTGAGAGGTGGAGGAAACAAGGGCCACTCTATTATCAGACAACTGCCAAACTTGGCTTCTCACACACTATATATGCCTAACAGCCCTAGCGGGGCAGCCAGTGGGTACAAACACACACTCAGACACCATGGGGCACCCAGAGTTGGTGGTCATCAGCCTGATCTGCTGCCTAGCAGCTGCTAGTGCAGCAAAGGTAAGTAGGGACTGAATAGAAATTGGGAAATTCTTTGGTGATAGGAACAAAAGGATGTTTTTTTTCTTCCTGCTAAGTCAAGGTCTTCTCAAGACTCAATGATACGCAATAATGCTAGTTTATATCCTATAATGCTTTGGCCCTTTCTTCCCAACAACCCTATAAAGTAATTAGTATAAAAATGACTATGACTCCCATTTTAGAGATGGGAAAACTGAAGCTCACTCAAAGGTAAGATTTGCTTACAATCACCCAACTAGTAATTGGTGGAAGGCAGGACTGAAACCTAGGTTTTTTGCTACCAGTGTTTTGCCCTTTATATTTGCCGTTCAAATTTCTCTATCTTCAAATACGCCTCCTCTCCCTCATCATAGAATTTCATAGTGGTAAAGGACCTCGGTAAGCATTTAGGTCAACTCATGCCAGAGCAGGAATTCTTGCCACAAGGTACCTAACTGACCTAGTCTCTACTTGAAGACATCCAATGAAGGGCCACCTGCTGTGTCCCGAAGCTGGCCCCATCGCTTATGAAAAGGGCAGCCTTCCTCTTCCTCTCAGGCTGCCCTTCTCTCGGGTCTGTCCCTGATCTTATCTGCATTACCCTGGAGCTGAGGTGTTTAGGAAAGAGAGAACAGCACTCACAATTGACTGAGTTCCTCTATCATCGAGTGCTTACTAGATGCTGTTGGTCAGAGTTTGTGGGGGAAGGAAGGGAAGAAGGGACAGAAGGAGTGAGGTAGGGAGGGGAGACAGAGGACAAAGGGAAAGATTGAAAGAAGGCAGATGGGAAATGTGGCTGTGGGCTAAGTAACCCTTTGGCCTCTAGTCTTCCCAGTTTTGATCTTCCTCTTATTCATAAGAAATTAGGGGGTAGAGGATGGGAAAGTAGACACTTTGCAATAGCCACTGAGCAGATATAAGAAGCAGCAGGAACTTACCCCCGCGTCTTTACTCGGGTCCCAAGGCTTCCTTGTTTCATTGGACAGGGGTGCCTCCAAGATGACAATGGGGTAAAGTCACCTTCGCCATCAAGGGAAACACTGGGGAACCTGCCCTACTCATCTTTGGGAGTTGAGGAAGGAACCAGCAGTGTTCTGAGCCCTTGGACACTGCCCACTCAGATCCGGAATCATAGAATTTTATCTTTTGAAGTGACATGAGAGGTCATCTGGCCCAACCCATACCATCCTTTCCCGAGCAGGACTCCCTGTATGATTGCTGACAAGTGATCTAGCATTTGCTTGGAGATCTCTAGTAAAGGGAAACCCGCACGTCCACAGGTAGCCCCTTCCACGTTAGAAGCTTTTTCTCTTCCATAGAGCCCAAATCTTTCTCTCTACAACTTCTCCCCATTCCTCCTACTTCTACCCCTTGGGCCGTGCAAAAAGTCTGATAATCCCACTTCCACCTAATTGCCCTTCAAGCTACCAGAAGACAGCCATTATGTGTCCCTTAAAAGTCTCTTCGCCAGGCTAACCATTTAATTTAACTTAATTTAATGAACATTTTAAAGTGCTTAATACCTTCAAGGTCCCATGGATATAGAAACAGATAGTTGGCACTTGAAGAGTTTACAATCCACAGGTTATAATCCGCAATTCCTATCCCGCTTTATATCTCTAGTTCTTTCAACTCCTGCTCACAAGATCATTGGACTTTAGAGTTAGAAAGGACTTCAGAAATCATATAATCCCACTCCCTTATCTTCCAAATAAGGAAACAGGGAAAAGGGGAAGTGACTGGCCTAAAGTCATAAAGATAGTATGGAGCAGAATTGGGATTGATTCGAGGTCTTCCACTCCCAATTCACTGCTCTTCCCACTACCCTAGACTTTCTCTGTGATGGGGTCTGAGCCTCCTCTTCGACTTGATTGCATCCCTCCTAAAATGTAACACCCAGAACTGTACACAATATTCCAGATTGAGGAGAGTACAGAAGGAGCCGCCACCACCTCCCTCGTTCTCCACACTATGTATCTATTAATGCAACCTAAGATCATATCAGCTGCATTGGCTGCTACATCACATTGCAGACTCATACTGAGTCTGTCATCTACTAACCTCCCTTCCACCCCAGTTATTTTTCATGGGAGCTTCTTTCTAGCCACATCCACCCCTATCCACCCTTCCCATTCATAGGCAATGACTTTTTTCTTAACCCAAGTGCAAGATTTTACATCCTTGTTCAATTCATCCTTAGATTCAGCCCATCATTTCAGCGTAATTTAACAGATCCCTTTCTCCCATCTGTCCTCTTATCTCCATTCACACAGGCACTAGCCTAGCAAACCCCTTATCAACTCACTTTTGACTACAATAATAACTACTTCATTTGTCTCACTGTTTCCAGTCTCTTCCCCCCTTTATTCAGTCCTCCTCACCATTGACTGACAAAATAATATTCCTAAGGCACGAGTCTGCCCATGTCACTTCCCTGCTCAAAAGCCTTCAGTGGCTCCCTATGACCTCTAGGATGAAGTACCAAATCCTCAGCCTGGCTTTTAAGGCCCTCCACATTTTGGCTCCTGTCTACCTTTCTAGCCTCATTTGGTTTTCTATCCCTTCAGAATTTAGAGTTGGACAAGACCTCAAGAGATCACCTTGTTCTACGTCCTCATTTTGCAAATGAGGGAACTGAGATAATAGAGAAAGAAAGTACCTTGCCCAGAGTTACGCAGCAGAACTGGGGTGCTTAACCAGATCTCCTGATAGTAAAGCTGGTGCTTTTCCCAATATATTTTACTGTAAGTTAATGGTAGCCTTTCCTTTAGAAAACCTCTAGTACAAACTACTAATACCTGGAAACTGGGATCTTGATAACCCAGTAAGTAATCAGGTCTAGGAACCCAAGACCAAATAGAGTTTTCCTGGGTTCAGTGTAGGGTCAATCTATTGCACTTTCATTTAAAAAAAAAATTAGTTTAGCAGCTAAGTGCCATCAGTGGGACTGGAATCAGGAAGACCTGAGTTCAAAAACAGCTTCGGACACTGTGACTCAGCTCTGTGACCCTGGCAGGTCACTTAACCTCTGCTCCAGCAAAACAGGGATAATAAGAGGACCTACCTTGAAGGGTTGTTGTGAGGATCTAGTGAGATAATATTTGTAAAGCACTTCGCACAGTAGGTGATGTATAAATACTTACTCCTTTCCATCCTTTCCTAGTTGGGAGCCGTCTACACAGAGGGAGGCTTCGTTGAAGGTGTCAGTAAGAAGCTGAGTCTCTTTGGTGGCTCAGTGGATATTTTCAAGGGCATCCCCTATGCTGCTGCCCCCAAAACCCTGGAGATCCCTGAGCGCCACCCTGGATGGGAAGGTGAGAGAGTAGGAAACACCAAATTATAGGAAGTGATCAATTCCATGAGCCAGGGGACCCACCCAGCTTCAGATTTATTTCTCCCTTTTCCCTATAGGAACCTTGAAAGCCAAGGAATTCAAGAAACGATGCCTTCAAGCCACCATCACTCAGGACAACACCTACGGCAGTGAGGACTGCCTCTACCTCAACATTTGGATCCCACAGGGGAGGAAGGAAGGTCAGGGCTGGGGGAAGGGAGACAGACAGCCTGTCTACACTGGCATAGAAACCCTCTCTTTTCCAATCTTTTCCTTTCCTGCTAGGAAGAAAGAACTCTGGAATTCTAGATATTCAAATAGATCTAGAGTCTATTTCCTAAAATTCAATTCAATAAACATTTATTAAAAGTGCCTGCTTAAAAATAAATGAAACTCTGTGTAACACACTGATGATAGATTAAACATAGCACCGCCCCTCTCCTAAAAGAACTATCTGATGGAGATGGGGCGGGTTATGACAGATAACAGAATAAGTCCAAGAGAGGTCCAGACAAAGTTCTATGAGGAGGGAGAGAGATCACTTTCCTCTGGAGTTGGTCATGGAAAGCTTTATAGAGAAGAAGGTACCTGAGTTGGGCTTTGAAGGAAGGATGAGGCCTCAGTAGATAGGTGGATGGATGGCTGAAGATAAAGACTATTCTAGGGGTATAGGGTGAGCAAAAACATGGAGGCAAGAAAGGAAAGGACAAGAATAAAGCAGGACAAGTAGTCCTATTTGGCTGGAACCAAATGTGAAAGGGATCATTATGACATAAGGCTGGAAAAGTAGGGTGGAACCAAATTGTGAAGGCCTTGCATTTCATGGTCAGAAATTTACACTTCGTTCATTGGGAAGTGTAGAGTCACTGAAGGTTGCCTTACTGGTGCCAGGAAACCCAGAGACTGGAGGAAGAGGTTGAGATTAGAAGGGTAAACCTGGACTATGCAGTCCGAAGAAGAGTATATGTCTGAGCAGGTAGAGGTCTGCTAGTTTCTGATCCCAGGACTGAGATTCTTGAGAATACTCTCTGCTGCCTGTCCAGTCCCCTGAGTAGCAATCCCTTCATCCCAAGTTCACAGTCCCTAGATCCAACATTCCCTCCCTTTCATACTCCCATGGGAGGCTCCAACCTATGCTTGGGATCACAATGCCACATGCGGCATAGCCCTTTTCTGTCTCTCTGCAGTGTGAAGATGCTTAGCCCTAACTAAAGGCTTCTTTCCCCAGTATCAGTCCAATTCTCCCCTTAGCTCTCATCCTTTCTTGACTCTTTCTTTAGTTTCCAGCAACCTGCCAGTTATGATCTGGATCTATGGTGGAGCCTTCCTGATGGGGGCCAGCCAGAGTGCCAACTTTCTGAATAATTACCTGTATGATGGGGAGGAGATTGCCACCCGAGGAAATGTCATTGTGGTCACCTTCAACTACCGTGTTGGGCCCCTGGGCTTCCTTAGCACTGGAGACTCCAATCTGCCAGGTACTTGCTGGCCCTTTGAGGTCTTGGAGGAGGGAGACCAAACAGTGGGGCAGTTATTGTATTCCACACAAATTTTTGTCCTATAGGAGCTTTCCTCCCTTTCTGGGGAGCTGTTCCTATTCCTATTTTCTTGAACCGAACAACTTCTAAAAATGTCACTGTTTATAAAATCCTAGAATGCCAGGGATGGGTGAGTGGGACTAAAGTTAGGGGAGTCATAGAATATTACAGCTGGAAGGGACTTGAAATAACATCTGGCCAAGCCCACTAAGGAGACTGAGGACATCAGGACCGCCCTGAGGCCAGTCAGTCAACAAGAATTTAATAAGTACTTACCATATGCCAGGCAATGTTTTAAAGATTGGAGAAAAAAAATGCAAAAACTTGGTCCCTGCTCTCATGTTACTCACATTCTAATGGGGAAGACAACATAACTAAGTACTCTATACAAGATGGGCAAGCTAGGTGGCACAGGGGATAGAACACTGGTCTTGGACTCAGGAAAACTCATCTTCATGAGGTCAAATTTGGCCTCAGACACTTACTAGCTGTGTGACCCTGGACAAGTCACATAACCCTGTTTGCCTCATTTTCCTCATCTGTAAAATGATCTGGAAAAGGAAATGGCAAACCACTCCATTATCTTCGCCAAGAAAATCCCAAAATGGAGTCATGAAGCATCAGAAATGACTGAAACAACTGAACAACAACAACACATACAGGATATATACCAGAAGGTAAAGTGAAGGTAATCTCAGAGTGGAAAGCACTAGCAACTAGAGGGATGAGGAAAGGCTTCCTAGAGAAGCTGGGTTTGAGTCAGAGGAAGCCAAGAAGAGGAAGAGCATTCAAGGGGCAACAGCCAGGACAAATGCATAGAGGTGGAAGGGGGAGTGTCTGTTCTGTGTTTGGAGCAGCAAGTAAACCAGTGAAGCTGGATTGTAAAAGATTTCGTGGTGGGGACTAAAGCATTAGAAGAATGGAAGGGTTCAGGTTGTGATTTCATGTTTGATCCTGAAGGTAATAGGGAGCCACTGAAATTCACTGAGTAAGAACAGAGGGATAGCGTGGTCAGATCTGTGCTTTAGCAAAATCACTTTGGCAGCTGAGTGGAGGATGGATTGGAGTAGAGAGAGACCAACAGTGGAGTTGAGGAAGCTATTGCAATAGTACCGCTGTGAGGGTCTATGTTAAGATGCTCTGAGTGGTGAAAAGACGTATAGGAGAGATGTGATGGTAGAAATGAAAGGATTTGACAACAGATTGGCTATATTGGGTGAGTTCATGTGAGGAGTTGAGGATGACACCAGGGTTGTGAGCCTGGGTCACTGGGAAGACAGCAATGTCTTTGAGAGTGATAGGGAAGTTCAGAAGAGGGGAAGGTTTAAAGCAAAAGATAAGGAATTCTGTCTGGAATGTTGATTTTTTTTTTTTAGGCAATTGGGGTTAAGTGACTTGCCCAGGGTCACACAGCTAGTAAGTGTCAAGTGTGTGGTCTGAGGCCAGATTTGAACTCAGGTCCTCCTGACTGTAGTAGAATGTTGATTTTTGAGATACCTATGAAACTTCCATTTTGAGATGTCCAAAATTCAGTTGACAATTCAGAATTGGAGCTCAGGAGAGAGATGTTGATTTGGACAGGCTCAGCACCAAATTGGTTGCCAGGGGATGAATTTCTCAGCCATAAGAACCCTTAAAAACCATTTTTACTAAGTCATAGAAAGCTTTGATCGGGGTACACTATAGGTGTACCATAGGTCACATATTTGTATATAAGCATATATGCATGTGTGTGTATGTGTGTATGTGTGTACATGTGTATATATACACATATATATGTTTGTGTATATACAGACAGACATGACCTTGGGCAAGTCACTTAACCTCTCTGGGTCTCAGTTTCCTCATCTGTAAAATGAGAGGGTTGGACTAAATGACTTCTATGGTCCTTTCCAGTTCTAACTCTATGATCCTATGTATATGTACATGTGTGTACATGTGTGCACATGTATATATTTATGCACGATGTTAAGGAATTGAAAGGACATCGAATGACTCTGAAGGAAGTCTGGTCTGCTTGTTTCTGAGCCCGAGGCAGACTAGTGTTGCTCACTATTCCCTTCTTGTTTTCCCTTCCTAGCTTCTCAGCAGCAATTCCCTCATTCCAGGGTCAAGGTCCCCAGTCATACCGCAATGTGTATGTGTATGTATGTATGCATGCATGTATGCATGTATGTATATACAAATCTATCATTAGACCCACCACACATGTATAAATATGAATATGTATGTATGTACTTATGTATACTCACATATATGTATGCTTTATAAATAGTATTACTGTAGCACTTGAAAATCACTTTGTATCAATAGTAATGAAGGGCAGAGGAGGGCAAAAAGAGAAATCTGGGGGCCTAGTTCTGCCCTTCCATAGACTATCCTCCAAAAAGCAAAGTCTTTGAAATTTTAGTTGAGTTTTCACTTTGGGGTCCTTCACTTGGGAGGAGGAGGAGAGGGCTTGGAAATTAACTGGACTGGATAGGGTGGGTCTGCAGTCAGGAAGACCTGAGTATGAATATGACCTCAGACACTTACTGGCTGTGTGATCCTGAGCAAACCATTTAGCCTCTGTCTGCCTCAGTTTCCTCAACTGTAACACAAGTATGATGATAGTAACAGCACCCACCTCACAAGGTGGTTGTGAGGATTAAATATTTATAAAGCACTTAGCACAGTGCCTGGGGCACATAGTAGGCGCTTAACAAATGCTTATTTCCTTCCTTCCTTTTTTCCCCTGTCAGGTAACTTTGGCCTTTGGGATCAGCACATGGCTATCGCATGGGTGAAGAGAAACATCGCAGCCTTTGGTGGGGACCCCAACAACATCACCCTCTTTGGGGAGTCAGCTGGTGGGGCCAGTGTCTCCCTCCAGGTCTGGGACTTTGTTGAACGTTAGAAAGATCTGCTTCAACCCTCCCTCCCTCCCCTCTTCCTATGCCCCCATAGTTCCACTGTTCTCCAAAGGGGTTGGGGGAGGGGAGTCCAACAGACACATCTGTCCTATGACATGCTCCTGTAAGCAGCCCCATTCTGCTGTCCTGGGTGTGAGCCATGTGAGAGGTAGGAAACAAGGAGGGAGAGGGAATGAGGTAAGGCTTATCTCAGGGAAGGACAGGATTCCTGAGATTCCACTTCATCCCGCCCTAAGCCAGGAAGCATCAATTGTGGCATAGTCTGTGCTTGTAGCACACTCTCTATGTCATGGCTTTCAAATGAAAAATGGGAAGAGAAGAAAGTGGGAGGGAAAGAAGGAAGAAGAGAGAGGAGTGAGAAGGAGAAAGAGGGAACAGAGGGAAGAAGAAATGGGGCCAAGGGATAGGGAACTTTGGGTCCCACCTGAACCAGTGCCTTCATGTTGCAGACACTAACCCCCCACAACAAGGGCCTTATCAGGAGAGCCATCAGCCAGAGTGGTGTAGCCCTAAGTCCTTGGGTCATCCAGAAAAACCCCCTCTTCTGGGCCCAAACGGTAAGAAACCTGCAGCTAGAGGCCATCTCTGCCCTGCTGGGATGGGAGTGGGGAAGGGCTGGGTAGCTCAGCTGCTCTGGATCAGCATCAAGCTGGATGCTTCCTTCATGTGCATGTAATATGCACAGCTCTTGCAGTATTTATTGCATGCCCAGAAATCTTTCTCCAAACTCAGGAGTAACTACCGAGTCAGAGAAACTATCCCAATCTAAAAACATACTGGTTCAACTCTTCCCCCAGATACCCATCCTCTCCCTTCTCCAATCTTCCTTAAGGGTGGGGGAGGAACTTGCCACTCAAGGCTGAAGATTTTAGGGTTGGGGTTCCTCTTTCTAACAGATTGCCAGCAAGGTGGGATGCCCATTGAATGATACCGCCAGGATGGCCAACTGTTTCAAGATCACTGATCCCCGAGCTCTAACTTTGGCCTATAAGGTGCCTCTGACAGGCCTGGAATGTGAGTGGGGACTGTTTAGGAGTGGGTGGGGGAGGGTGGTACACACTGCTGTCCAAATTCTGAGCCTCAGTTTCCCTTCTTTGCTAAATGAGTGGGCTGGATGAAGCAATTTCTAAAGTCCCTCCAACTCTAACATTCTTGTTCTGAGAGACAGTTTTGGAGGACTCGATCATAAATGAGAATAGAACATTACTATTCGTAATACTTGTAGCAACATAAAATAACAACAGTGAGGTTCATTACGTTTATAACTAACTACACCAAAAAGTTTGAATTTCTGTAGAGCTTTCTTTCTTGCAGATCTCCAGATTTGTGGTGGCATTTATTTAACTATTGTCTCAATTATCACAATTATCCATTTAGTGCCTTAGGATCAGTATAAGGCATAGTTCTTTGATTCCAAGGACAGAATGAAACAAATTATCTTAGTGTGCAGTAAGAGGGATTTAGTTTAGACATAATCTGAGGGCAACTAGGTGGCGCAGTGGATAGAGTACCGGCCTTAGAGTCAGGAGGACCTGAGTTCAAATCCAGCATCAGACATATAACACTCACTAGCTGTGTGACTCTGGGCAAGTCACTTAACCCTGATTGCCTCAAAAAAAAAAAAAAGGACATATCTGAATGAAAATTACACCCCATCTCTGAAACACAGCCACCTCCCTAAAAGGCAGAGAGAGGGACTAGATGAAGGGCATTCTAATCACCTCCTGTTTCTCCTTTACCTGTACCAGACCCTGTGCTGCATTATCTGGGCTTTACACCAGTCATTGATGGAGACTTCATTCCTGAAGATCCAGTCAACCTCTTTGCCAATGCAGCTGACATTGACTACATTGCCGGCATCAACGACATGGATGGTCACATGTTTGCCATGGTGGATATGCCCGTCATCAACAATGCCTTCAAAGACATCAAAGAGTGAGTAACCAGGAGACCTCCAGAAGTTCAGGCCTGCTGTATGTGTGAGGGGATGACTATGGAGGGGTGGATGTAAGGGAAACTCACCCAATGGTCGCATTCAAAGCAAAAGCAAATACTTAGTACGCATTTATGCGCCCAACCTAGTGCTAAGCATTGAAGAGGGAACAGGTGAATAGGACTGTATCCCTTCCTTCAGGGAATCTGCAGTCTAACTGATGAAAGAAGACATAAATAGATAAGCAGCTAGTAAACGTGGATCAAGACAAGAAGAGTAAACTGTTGATTGTCAAATAAATGGAACAGACAATGAGTGCTCTAGAATTTCCAGGACATGGTGGAGGGATCATTCTGGGCTGGTGTGGTTGGGAGTTAAGATTTTAACTAGATCTGGAAGGATGCTGGAAGGGAATTCCAAGCCAGTACATGAGAAAAAGTATGGAGATGGGAAAACACATTAATGTTTGGAAAATGAGGAGACCTGGCTTGGTTATTGTTCTGGAATTAGAGTAGGTCACAGAAAAACACTGGACTTCTTTGGAGTGTAGTCAGCCATGTTTCCAGTGGCCTGAGTTAGGAACCTATTCTAATGGCACTTTTTTTCAGGGGAGATGGGGGAAAAGCCCAAGTCTTTGGACCTTCTGTTCTTAAGCCTGATCACTTAGTTATATGCCTGGTTAGTTCTGAGAAGGGTATCTGGTCAAAGAAAAAGGACCTATATGTATAAAAATTTTTATAGCAGCACTTTTTGTGGTGGCAAAGAACTGGAAATTGAGGGGATGCCCATCGATTGGGGAATGGCTGAACAAGTCATGGCATATGATTGTGATGGAATACTGTTGGGCTATAAGAAATGATGAGCAGGATGCTCTCAGGAAAACCTGGACAGACTTGATGCAATGTGAAGTGAGCAGGAGAACCCTGTATACAGTAGTAGCAGCCATCTTGTACAACGATCAACTATGAGCAATACAATGATTCAAGACAATTCTGAAGGACTTATGGCAGAAAATGCTGTCTGCCTCCAGAGAAAGAACTGGTGGAGTCTGAATGCAGATGGAAGAATACTTTTTAAAACTTTCATTTTTTTTTGTTCTGTGTTTTCTTTCACATGGCAATATAGAAATATGTTTTGCACGACTGCACATGTATACTCTATATCAAATTGTCTGCCTTTTCAAGAAGGGGAGAGGGGAAGGAGGTAAGGGAGGGAGAGAATTTGGAACACAACATTTAAAAAGAACAGCAAAAGTTGTTTTTACACATAAGTGGGAAAAAATAAAATATTTAATAAAAACAGAAAAATTGATTATAGGTTTGCCTTAAAAAGAAAAGAAAGAAAGGTATCTGATCCTAACTATGCCTACTTTTTCACTGTAGTGAAGACTTTTACGAGCTGGTCTCTGGCCTCACCCTAATGAAAGGTCTTCCTGGTGCCACTGCCGCCTTTGACTTCTACACCCAATCTTGGACACAAGACTCATCCCAAAAGACCAAGAAAAAGACTGTGGTGGACTTTGAAACTGACATCCTCTTTCTGGTGCCCACAGGGATTGCCTTGGCCCAGCACCTTGCCAATGCCAAGTGAGAGAGCATCCTGCTTGTGTGATGTAATCGAGGGGATACGGTGGTAGGGGGCTCCCTTTGGACAACTCTGCTTGTCCACCTGTCGAACTGAGTCCTTGCCCAGTTCTGCCACTAGTTAACCATGCTTAACCTCAAGCATATTGTAACCTCCCTAGGTTTCACTTTGCTTCTTGATAAAATGAGGCAATTGGCCTAGCTAATTTCCCAAGATGTCTTTTACCTCTACAATTCCATGTCCATATTTAAATTCTTCTTAAAAGTCTCATTTTAACTTCCTTTTTCTTTCTGAATGGAGAACACAGCTGGAGGCCTTCCTCTATACACCACCTGTATACTGGAAGGCCTAAGGCTAGTCCTTCACTTCCTCTTCCTTAGTCTGAATAATTCCAGTTCCTTTTGATTCTGAAATGAATTTCACAAACTCTTACATTAAGTTAAACTGCAGCCCATTCTTCCCCGGCCCCTTCTCAGATCCGCCTTCCCCTTGTTGACTGGGCTGTCCCAGGTGAGTCTCCACATACTGAAGTTATTTCATTCAATCCCACAGGAGCGGCAGAACTTACAGCTACCTGTTCTCCCATCCTTCTCGAATGCCTTTATACCCTGACTGGGTTGGGGCCGACCATGCCGATGACGTCCAGTATGTCTTTGGCAAACCCTTTGCAACCCCCTTGGCTTATCGGGCCCAGGACCGAACTGTCTCTAAAAGCGTGATTGCCTACTGGACTAACTTTGCCAAAACTGGGTAAGATCTGAGGGGGTGAGACCTAGGGGACAGCTTCACCACTGGATTCTAGGATTGGTCACTAGTTCTTAAATAGGATGTAGGAAGAGCATGTTTTAAGCTTACAGATTTTAAACAGTTAAATTTATAAGCCATAAATCAAGAGTTTCACCAACACTCCTGAAAGCTGACCTCACTGGGGCTTTTTTGCTTTTCTTAAAGGGACCCCAACATAGGCAATTCTGCAGTCCCTACCCATTGGGATCCTTATACTGCAGAGAATGGCAGCTACCTGGAAATCACCAAGAAAATAGATACTGAGTCCATAAAACAGCACCTGAGAACCAACTTCCTGCAATTCTGGACCCTCACTTATCAGACCCTCCCCACAGTGACCAGTGAAGACCAAGTTCCTGACATCAAAGTTGCTGAAGACAAAGTTCCCGAGGATGACGCTCTTATAGCTATGGCAGCAGACTCTTGAGGTGACTGCTCCATTTCTCATAGTGGCTGACTTCACGTAACCCCCAAATTGGTCCTGTGCCCATTCACCAGGAAGTCAAGTGCCCATGAGGGCCAGAATCTAGCAGTGCCCACCCTGGCTTTCTGCCCCTTCCCCCTCACTGCCTTAATAAAGTCTTGTTGCTGTCTATCATATCTCATTCTGCCCTTACTCTAAGGCAAGGGTATTTAACCTGGGATTTCAAAAGAGTCCACGAATCTGGTTTTAAAAAATATTTTGATGAATTGTATTTCAATATGATTGGTTTCCTTTGGAATCCTATGTGTTTTATGCATTTTAAAACACTGAGATAGGGTGCATACAAAGTTAAGACTCACAAAAATTAAGAACCCCTGCCCTAAGGGAATTCACTCTAGAATGAGGTTAGATACCTGGGTGAGCAGTCTGCACTTGCTTCAGTGGGCAGGAAAGGGGACAGGGGCTGACATGTCTTTGAAGACTATTAGAAGAACGGGGAGTGTCTAGCTGGGCACTACTGGATGCTCACCTGGGAAAATCTACTGGAAGACAAAACAGATGCAGTGGGTGAGGGAAGACTCAAAGGTGACTCCCTGCTCATGTCTGGGAGACTGGGGAAACAGTGGTGACAGATGGAAGTATGAAAGGCTGAGAAGATTCCTCCTGTTGGCCATGAAGGTATTTGAGGCCCTGGAGGGGATGGGGACAGAAGGTACCCTTGGGGCCCAAGATGAAACTGACCTATTGAGTTCTTCTCAATTGGGAAAGCTGTATCCTGAATATGCTGCCCAGTGGCCTGGTCTGCTTTGGGGAGGGTGGGCCAGCCTGCTGAGTATGGTCATAGAAAATACACTAGGAATGGGATAAGCAGGTTGTGTGTGTGTGTGTGTGTGTAGGGGGATAATGGAAAGAGCATGGGATCAGTAACACCAAAACCCAATTTCAAGTCTCAGTTCTCTCACTATCTGGTTCACTCACAATAATCTCCCTTCTCTTCTATCAATTTCACGTCTCTCTGAGAACATACTGCATTGTCTCCTCATTCACTCTAATCTCTGAAGAAAAGGTGGCCTTCCTCCTCATTGCAGTTAACTCTTCTACAATACCCTTGATCCTATGTCCTCTTATCTTTCTTCGGCAGATTGCCACTAGTATGGTTTCCACTATAATAGTCTTTTCCTTTCTACTTGCACCTACAAATATGCTTGAATGTCCCTTATCTTTAAAATATCCTCACTCAAGTCCACTATACCTACTAGTTGTCCTATTATCTTTCCTCCCCTTCCCAGCTAAACTCCTGGAAAAAGCCACCTATACTCACTGTTTCCCTTTCCTTTTTTTGTGATCTCTTCAAAACACTCTGCAATCTGACTTCTGACCTCATCTTTCCAGCTGAAACCATGCTCTTCAAAGTTACAGTGATCCCTGAATTGCTAAATCCAACAGCCTTCTCTCAGTCCTCAACCTCTCCACCATTTGACACTGCTGATCACCTGCTCCTGGATTTTCATGACTGCTCTCTTGGTTCTCCTACCTATGTGGCCACTCTTCAGTCTTTGCTGGAGAATTAGCATGACATAATCACACTATTATATTATACATTATAACTCCTAAACCTAGAGTCAGGAAGTTGTTTAGCTGTTTTTTAGTCATGTCTGACTCTGTGACTCCATTTGGGGTTGTCTTGGGAGAGACACTGGAGTGGTTTGCCATTTCCTTCTCCAGCTCATTTTACAGATGAAAAGACTTAGGCAAACAGGGATGTGACTTGCCCAGGGTCACACAGCTAGCAAGCATCTGAGGCCAGATTTAAACTCAAGAAGGTAAGTCTTCCTGACTCCAGGCCCAGTGTTCTGTGCCCTATCCCTACTTGGACGCTCACTAGATGTGTGATCTCAAGCACCTTTCTTGGTCTGTTTCTCATCTGTAAGATGAGGGGGTTAGATTACCTCTAAGGTCCCTAAACCTATGATTCTGTGGTCTTTACCCATGGCATGCCACTAACTGTGGGCATCCCCGAAGGCTCTGTCCTGGGCCCTCTTCTCTATATTTGATGATCTCATCAGCTCGCATGGGTTCAATTATTATTACTGTGCAGTTGATTCTCAGATCAATGTATTCAGCCCTAGTCTCTCTCCTGAGCTCCAGTCCCATACATGACTAACTGCCCATTGATCAGAATGCTTCATAAGCATCTCAAACAATGTCCAAAAATTCATTCTTTTAGCTTCCAAACTTATTACTCTTGAGGGTATCACCATCCTCCCAAGTCACCAAGGTTCATAACTCTAATGCCATCTTCTGCTCCTCACTCTCATGTCATTTATCCAGTAAATTGTCCAATCTGCAGACATAAATATGTACATTTATGTAAAATCATTCTACACATGCTTGTATTTATCAGTTCTCTGGATGCAGATAGTGTCTTCCTTCACATGCCCTTTGTAGTTAATTTGAGTATGATTCTATCTCTACAAAATCTCTTGCATTTATTCACGTCTCCCCATTTACAAGCCACTACTCTAGCCCAGAGCTTTGTTACTTCTGGCCTGGACCACCGCAATAGCCAATTAATTGGTCTTCCTGGCTCAAGTCTTTCCCACTCCAATACATTCTTCCTTTAGTTGCCACATGGATTGTCCTGAAGCATAGGTTTAACCATGTCATCAGCTTTAACTTTAGTGGCTTCCAAGTACCTCTCAAATCAACAATCCTCTACTCTGGCTTTTAAAGCTCTTTACAACTGAGTCTCTTCCTATATTTCCAGTCTTGCCCATCATTCCTCTCCATACACTATAAAGCCCAGCCAAAGTGGCCTCCTTGTTGTCCCCTCACACAAGGATATTCACTCTATTCCGTTTCATTGTCTTTGCCACCAGCTATTCTCCATGTCTGAACTACTCTTCCTCCTAACTTGAGCCTATTGGAATTCCTAGCTTCCTCCAATACTCACTGAAAGCACCACCTTTTACAGGCCTTCTCCTCCAAGGCTATATTCCATCTATTCTGCATATGTCTTGTATGTATATGTTGTCTCCCCCTAGAATGTAAACTCATTGAGAGCAGGAACCCATTTTTGCTTTCTTTTTATGCCCGAAACAGCCCAGTGGCAGACAGCAAATACTTAATAAGTGCTTATAGACTTTGACATCATTTAGCCTTGGTCTCTTCATCTGTATCCTAAATAAGGTTGTTGGATTAGATATATAAGGAATCTAAGATCTGTTTTCTAGCTCTAACTCTATGATACTACAACTATCTACTCTAACACCTTATTTTTTAAGATGGGGAAACCAAGTCTAAAAGAAACTACTTGCCCAAGTATTAAGATATTACAAGATCAGAGAGACATTAATAGGCAGAGCTAGGATTCAAACCCAGGTCCTCTGACTCCAAATGCAGTATTGAACACAATACTTGTGTGTCCTCGGGCAAGCAGATTGATTAACTTCTCTGAGCCTTAATTTTCCCTACCTGTAAAACGAAGATGGCATCTAAGGTCCCTTCCTGCACTGACATTCTCTGATTTAGTTATCTCCATATCCCCATCTCTGACACAGTGCTTGGTACACATTAGGAGCTTGATTAATGCTTATTGGTTGATTAATATGACTCCTTGCAATGACCCCAAGCTCCTACTGGCCAAGTGGTAATCCCAGCCAATTCTACAACTGCCTCCCCTCCCTCCCCCCTGCCTTTAAGGACTTAGCCAGGGGTTACACAACTTCATTCCATCTGCAACATAACTGGGGATTTGCCAGGTCAAGTTGGAAGTCTGTAGGGAGAGGGGGTATCTACTTGTTCCATCTTGCCACCTGTACCCCCACATCTCTGAACAGTCTGTGGTTACACCCCAAATGGGGATAGCTATACTTCCAAACAGGGCTCTTCTCTAGGTATTACTGTTACAGATAAGAAAACAGATGTCTGGAAGGGAAGCCACAGTCAGAAAATATTAACTTTAGTGGCAAAGGTGAGACTAGAACCCAGGCCTCCCGGACTCCGTGAACCGGCTTCTGTCTTAGCATCTCCCCTAATCCCCTCCCAAAGAGAAGAAAGCACAAATGTGAGGGAGATCTGGAGATATTCACAGGTGACCAACTTCAGAGCAAAACAGAGAAACTCGAGCTGTGGTTTTAACAGGATTTAGTAGAATGTACAAGTCTAATGTTTTCTATTTACAACAAATAAATATTACCCCCCCATCAGTAAACATTTTTTTCTTTTTTGTTTTCTTTCTTGTTTTGTTTTTTTACAAAAATTCAGTCACTTCCTTCTTGCCCCCACCCCAACTGCCCTCATTCATCATCTTATGATGTCTGCAAAGTCCAAGGTTAGTGGCACTTGGTGTGGTTGAGAATTCATGTCAGCAGGACCCTGGCCTGACCTTTCCCTCTTGCTCACCATAGTGAGTCATGCTGTATATTTACAGGGGCCCCTACCTCTCACAGAGTGCAGAGGGAACGGTCAGTGGGTCCTCCTTGCCCTGGTGTGTCCCTTGAGATAGAATCTTTGGTGCAGGTTTAGGGCTAGAGATCTGGGAGGCAAAGCCCCTGTGTTCTGGGGCCAGATCCAACTCATGGTGATTGGGAGAGAGAAATGCTTTACTCCCATGCCCCACCTCCACCCTGTATGGGGAGTGACCATGGGGACACTGAGGATGAATGACATGGGTACAGGTGGGGCAGGTGACTGGGGAAACTCTGGAAGATGAGGGAAGAATTGTGGTCAAACCCCTTTTGGGCATTAATGCTCCTGTATGCCCACTGGGCAAGGAATGTGGCAGTGACCATCAGCTTAGGAGCTGGAGATCCATTTGAAGGGCAGTAACAGGGAGGGGATGGGGCACTGGTGCCCACTGGCAGAGTTCCTTGGCAAAAAAAAGAAAAAGAGAAAATTGTTCTGTCCTCTGGTTCTTGGAAAGCAGAAGGCACCTAAGGCAATGAGGTGGTTGTTGGGGGTTAAGAAGAGGGGGTGGGAACCCGGTCAGCCCAAGTCTTAGGGGCGTCATATTGGGTAGGAAAGAGAGCGCTTGAGTGTCCAAAACCACGTAGAAAAAGTCAAAGTGGGAAGGTGTCCCAAAAAGTCCCTGAAGTCAGGGGATCTAATCTGTCCAGGGAGGTGTGAGGAAAGACCCTGGTGGAACGGACATGGGTGGGAAGCCCAGGCCTCTAAGTGCTTTGTGGCTCCAGAGAGAGGTGGTGAGGCCTAGGATTGCTGCTCAAAGGAGGTGATGGAGTCAGAAGATGCCTTTGGCAATCTTGAGGCCTTTCTGTTTCATTCTGGGCAGTGTCGAGCTGGCTCCATGCTTGACCTTTACCCCCTTAGGGAAGCCCCTCTTCTTCAGGACAAAGTCATAGTTGGCAGTGGAGTTCATAGCATAGAACACATTGGCATTGTCCGGGATCTTCAGCTCTGAGGAGAGATAAGAAAAGGTCAGGTTAGCTGAGGTCCTCTCCAGATGGGCCAATACAAGATCAACTAGGCCAAACACGACTGTACCAGGGCAGAGTTACTCCACAAGTCAAGATCCTCCATTTCTTAGGAGGTAGGTGAATTAACAGAAGAACAGAGGTCTCTGGGTGGCTGGTTGGATTCAAAATGCCTGCTGTGGGAGGTGAGGCTCTGGTGGGTACCAAGAGCATTGGGTAGTCTTAACAGCACTCAAGCATCCTCAAGGCCTCCCTGTGGTTCACCACACCAGCTTTAACTTCTGTCTGGATTTCACAGTCCTCCATGAACTGGCCTGAACCCATCTGTTGGTCATTTGCTCAAACATTTACTGAGCATCTATTATACACTGAAAATCAAGGTCAAGAGAGTTTTTGCCTTTCTCTCCTTCCTGCTTCATGGAGACAGAGAGTTAGCTTCAAAGCTGGAAAGACTTATTTTCAGTCCTGCCCCTGAGGTAGCCCGGCTGTGTGACCCTGGACAAGTCAGCACTGTAGACCAAGGTATCAAACTCAGATAGAAATGATGACCACTAAACTGTACATAAGGATCTCCTAAAGGCCTTGACTTTAGAATATAGCATTGTCTTTTTTATTGTATTTTTTTTAACTTACTTTGTTAAATATTTCCTAATTACATTTTCATCCGTTTTAGGCTGCACTCAGGGGTGTTGTGGGCTGCATGTGCCTCATTTGACATCTCTCCTCTAAACTCTCTAAGACTTTCAGTTACAGAGAAAGTACTAACCTACTACATTAGGAGAAGGTAAGGGAAAAAGAATTTATTAAATGCCTATGTGCCACATTAGCTAGGTAGCATAGTGGACAGAGTGCTGGGCCTGGGGTTAGGGAGACTCATTTCCCTAGGTTCAAATCAGGCCTCAGACACATACTAACTGTATAACCCCATTTGCCTCATTTTCCTCATCTGTAAAATAAGCTGGAGAAGGAAATAGCAAACCAATATCTTTGCCAAGAAAACCCCAAATGGGGTCATGCAAAGTCAGAAAGGACTGAACAACCTATGTGCCAGGCACTCTTCTAAGCACTTTGTAAATATTTAATCTTCACAACCCTATGAGATAGGTGCTATTCTGATCTCTATTTTGCAGTTGAGGAAACTGAGGTGGACAAAGGTTGATCA